TTCAGAGAATACGTATTCTCCAAATGTTGTTTAAATAATTTAATTCTCATCTAATTCCTAAAATCCTGCAAAAACTCATTAATTATCAACTTTTTTTGCATTTTTCTCGAAAAATGGTACTTCTTGAACAACTCACGTGGGTCATAAATTCACGAAAAAAATAACTGGAACATGGTTTTCGATGTATTTTCAACCGTAGAATACGAATCCGTTGTCCGATTATCGATTGAATGATTCATTTTTTAGAAAACCGGAAAAAATACAAAAAAGTCATAAAAAAGAGGTTTTTTGCGTTTTTCTCGAAAAATCCCTGCGGGACCCCCTAATATTATTGCATTTTTGGATTCAGCGTCGAAAATTACATAGGAATACACCTATGCCGTCAGTTGTTCAGACCACTTTTTTTTTTGTGGGCCTGTGTAATCTATGCATCTGTTCACTTAGTAATTCATGTTGTTTTAATCAGCATTGATCGGGATAAAAGTTAACATCAAATGTATATAGACAAAGTTTCTGAAATAGAAAATTATGATATTGGCACAAGAATGTTATTTTAAGAATATCGAAATCAGTAAAACGTCAAATTGAATGAGTCGCTAGAATTTGAAGATGATAAACATAGGAATATCCATGGTTTTAATCAAGACGAGTTTAATGACTTGTTTCGAGACGCAGGCCTTTTGAAGGAAATGTCTGAACTTTTAGCTTCAAAATTAAAAGAAAAGAATTGTTTAGCTACAGGTGCTAAAGTGTGTTTCTATCGTGATCGAGATCACCCATTTCAGAAATTTTTCTCAAAAGCAAAAGGTTTGGTTTATTATAATGATGTTGCAGGACGAATAAATGAATATGGATGTTTTGAATACATAGCTAGTGACTGGCGACTATTTATTGATTCATCAGTCAGAAGTCTGAAAGGTGTCTTACTTCACAATGGGAATCAATAAGCCCCTATAGTAGTAGATCACTAATCTCCTTTTTCTACTTGAAAAATTGAAGTACAGTACTCATATGTGACAATTCCTTGGGGATTTTTAAATAACCATTATTTTACTAGATCAACAAAATGAAAACACTAAGGATCCATGTTTTCTTTGCGAGTGGGACAATCTGGCCCGGGACCAACATTATATAAAAAAAGATTGGCCTCTTCGGCAGGAATTAACTCTAGAATTTAAAAACATTATTGAAAAGAGTCTGATATTTAGTAATAAAGTTATTCTTTCTCCTTTATTTATTAAACTTGGCTTTTCTAAATAACTAATGAAGGTATTAAGAACTTCAAAGCAATGAATGTGTTAAAAAGTGATGCTTTCATCTATCTATTCGAGAAATTTCCGAGTGTTTCTGAAGCGAAAATCAATGGACGTATTTTTTATCGTTCTAAAATAAAGAAACTGTTGAAAGATGAAGAATTGGAAATGGGAATGACGAGTAATGAGAGAGAAGCTTAAAATAGTTTCAAAGAAATTCAGTTAAAATTTTTAGGAAATAACAAAGATCCTGATTATAAGAATATTGTTAGCAATGTATTGAAACACTACCAAAATATGGAATGTTTAATGAAGTTAAAGATTTATTTCCTGCATTTTTACATTAATTGCTTCTCAGAAAATCTGGAGACTTGAGTAAGGAAAAGGATGAGAGATTTTACCAAGATTTGGAAGAGTTTGAGAAAAGATAACAAAGTGCTTGGAATGTAAATATAATATCAGACTACTGCTGACGCCTAAAAAGGGATACAATGTACATAAAAGAAAATCCATTCGTAGATGCATTTGTAACATGTTCATTTATTCACAAAAGATCAACGAAGAGATCCATTCATTATCTATCTACTTTTTTAAATATATTAAATGTATCTCTTTTTAAAGATAATAGTTTTATTTATCCACATACCAAACTCAACTATGTATTTTTTAAAAGTGTTTGAAATTTTAGTATAATCTCTTATTCTACTTCTAATTCTGTATTCTAATACAGGAAATAAATCTTTAAATTCATTTAAAATGGGATCTTTGTTAATTCACAAATTTTTGTATTAATTTCTTCATAACAACTTTAACCTATTATTTCAGTTATCATATTCATTTCCAATTCAGCATCTTTAATCGGTTTCCTTTTTCAAAAACCTTCAATTCACTTTAATTGAGTTTTTATTTATAAATATTACATAATTTATATAATTTTGAACACGATTATAACTTCGTTTTTGGAATCAAGTCGGAATAAAGTCACAGTGTTAGTTACAAAACAGGTGAGTATAAAGGAATTGAATAATGTAGGTTTAAGTTTAAAGTACAGTTAAACACAATCATCCTACTTTATAAATACGGCGGAGAATGTTGTATAGCTACAAAAACACTGGTGAGAATACGGAGCGTATACAAATATATATGTCGTCGTGTTCATACATAAATAGTAGTTCACGTCCAAACAACTAGGTTAAGTAGCAACCAACTGTAGGTTCCTAAGTCGAAGGAAAAATCCTCTCGAAGTAATCCGACTGGCGATTGCAAATGAATTCGTAGAATGGCGGGATAGGGATTTTATTGATTTTTTCCTCAAATCTTTTCCCTCGATCTTTTTCTTTTGACATCCATCACCTTGCTCCATCTGTGGTTGGAATGCTGGGGCTCAACATGTTGACTGACGTCAGATGACTGTTGACCAAAACGCTGGCCAAAACTAATGCGAGTTCTGACCAATAATTACAATTACGGGCATCACCAGATTGGATTTCTGCCTATCTATTGACAAACAGATGAGCTACAGAAATGCATCTGCGTTGCTAAGTCAACAACGTTCTGATGTTGCCAGCATTCCAAAATATTAACATTGGTTGGAGTTTGAATCAAAAAGTTAAAAGATTCTTCCGTTTTTGCAAATGATTGTTTACAAGACGGATGATTAGTAATCAAACATGTGCACCACATCATGAAAACAAGGCTGTTCGATAACTTGGTATTTCTTCAAACAATTGAAAAACAAACAACCTCGGCAGTTCCCTTGATGTAACAAGAAGGGAACATCTAACACAAATATCGGCCTAACGAACGGAATCAAATAAACAATATCGTAATTCGCAACACATATATATGAGGGATGTTCAAAAAATAAAGTGACTTGATGGTTTTTTCCACAAATATTTATTTATGGCATGCTGTTTTCGGTGTTGGCTCTTTTGGGGTCTTCCATTGAGCCGATTGGACTTTAATTTTTATATCATAACCATATACCGACGATTCATCACCAGTTATAAACTTTTTGAGAAAATCAGGATCTTCATTGACTTCATTCAACATCTCCTGAGAGATGGTCATGCGATCGTTCTTGTGATCAAAATTTTTAATTTTGTTAACGATTTTTTAACACAATTTCTTTCGCTGCTTCGACGGTTTCATCTGTTGATACGCTGGGACGTCCAGAATGAGGTTCGTCTTCGATATTCTTTCGGTCTTCTTGAAACAGCTTATACCACTTATACACATTTTTCTTACTCAGAGTAGACTCACCGTCTGCAATTGTCAACATTTCAAGAGCTTTAGAGCACTGTATTCTATTTTTCACACAAAATTTAATGCAAACTCTTTGCTCCATTCTTTTCGATAGAAGAAAATCGCCGAGCACACCAAAAACTTCTAACCTCTAACGCCTCTGCCAGAAAAACAATACGTGCTATATAGTTAAAACTATGAATATATGATCGTGACAAGTGTACCAACACAATAACAACAATAATTCAAAATTTCAATGCATATAGCCCGCCAAAATTGAAAAGTCACCTTATTTTTTGAACAACCCTCGTACAATAAAACTGTTTGATATGCTGTTTTAGTAAGTTAAATTTGATATATAAAAGTTTTAGGATGATTAAATAACTAGAAATAAGACTTTTTAACAATGTTTATAAATCTAGGGGTAAGTTTGCTCGAAAGATCGTTAAACCAATCTTTTTTAGCTAATGTTGATCTTAAGTACAATTGTTACACCGCTTAAAAAATTTCTCAGTTTTGAAACAGTTTTGTAATAAATCAACTTTTTTTTCTTTTAATGTTGAAACTAAGAGCTCGAACGTGAATTTCTTTAAAATTGCATTGTTTTCATTGTGTTTTAAGCTGTAGAGTTAATATTACAATACAAAAATTACAATAAACATCGTAGTATTGTATACAATACTGTATTATAAACGAAAACATTATAATTGTTTATATTATGTTAGATTTGTTAAACAAGTACCCTTGCTCCGATAATTTTTATTCAAGTAAATATTCATACCTTCTGTAATAATAAATGAAACCTATTTCTCACTATGTCAAATTCCATCATCTGTAACCAGGGCACCCAATTTCCTTCTAAATCATAGCGAAATGTGCTGAACGCCATACAAATCCAGATGATCTTCTCAAGTATTTGTTACTTATAGAATAAGATTGCGAAGCGAGTACAGGAATTTGGGCGATTTCTGAGAGCATATGCTCGAGAAAACTATAAAAGTTTGATTCCCCTAATATCCAAAATACAAAAAATAATACCCGAAATACAAAAGTATTTATCACACGAACACTGAATTGATCCTTATACTATTCCATTTGGGAAAAAGACCCGATCGCTTTTGGTATCGTTGGTTTTTTCCAATAAATTTAAGGGATCCAAACAAAATTGGGTCAACAAAGAAGCATCTATGCACAACACTAATTGTCTACATTGATCATACAAACTAGATGACCTGGTTTTACTAAGAAGCTTTTATTCGACTGATAAAATCGTGAAAATTTTTTAAATCTGCATCAAGATTTGTACGTAATCTACTACATTAAATGTTCCGACACGTCTTGGGACACAAATATTGCAAAATACGAGGACACTTTTATACTTCGTTATTAAAGCTATATCATTGCTAGTCGCTGCAGGTCTTCATCTCGCCTCGAATCAAATTTTTCGAACATTTGCATATACAAATGCATGTTTGAACAAATGTTTCATAATATCTTTTGGCTATGACTCCTGTACGAAATAAACAGCCACATATTGTTGTAATATCATTACAACATATGACTTAGTAAAATATTTAAAGCTATTTAACTTCTTAATGTGTGTTATAATCTAGTATATTAATTTTTATTTATTTTTATTCTTATTTATAATAGCTGATATTATTTCAGTATGTAAATGAAGTTGTGATAGGTGCACCATATGAAGTTTCAAAAGACCTAATGGAACACTTTAATGTATCAGTTGTTTGCCATGGACAAACGTCTATAATGCCATGTGAAAATGCATCAGATCCTTACGCAGAACCTAAAAGACAAAATAAATTCAAGATTTTAGATAGTGGTAATGAGATGACTACTGAAAAAATTGTGGAGAGAATCATTCTTCATAGGTATGAAAAATTTTAACTCTTCATACCTTCAGTTAATGATATAAAATATTTTTAATAAACTATAATTACTTAATAAATTAATAAATCTTTACAAAATATATATTTAATTTTTAAATTAAATCATATTTAATAACAACAATATAATGAAAATCATGCTGTCATATTCGTCATATAAAACAAAAATATATTTTTTTCATGTGAATTAGTTTTCAGGTATTTAAGTTTTTGAAATTTAAAGTACAATAATAAATATATTGATAATTATAATGTTTGCTATTGTAAAGAACGTGCGTAGAAAAAGGAGCAACCACGACGGAAATGCGAAAGTAAGAACATTAGAGAGAAACCGACCGAAAATTCAAGAGCACCAAGGAGCAGCAAGAAGCACGCGGACGCGATGGAGGAGGGAATGTGGTAGAAGACTAGGCAAAATAGTTTTGGTATCGCTTCGACGGTCGAATCGTGAGCTGAAACAAAAAACAAGATAACGAAGCTCTCACCGTCTCGCTATTACGCAAGTTTTTTTTGTCTTGTTCTGTTGCTACTCGTCGGCTCTTTGATGCCTTATGTGCTTGAGAAGATTGCGTGTGAGAGTAGTGATTGCTAAGGAAAAGTCTGCGTTTGTCAAGAGTTAGATGTCCGCAATCAGCAGAAACCTCATTGCTTGGATGACGGACGCTGCAATCGGTAATGAGAGGAACTCGGCGAGCCACCTTCCAAAGCCAATAGCTTGTGCACTTACCCAACCCCTCTGTTATCGTTGTTTGCAGCATCGATGTGAGAAATCAGACGAAATTCGTTTATTTCGCGAGCATTTCTTTTTTCGTATTGCGTGTAACATCCCTTGCACTAGCTCGGGTTCAGTTTGTTTCTCTCAGTCTCTCTCTCTCTCTCTCTCTCTCTCTCTCTCTCTCAACAAGTCCGGTCACTAATTTCGTTTACTTATTTGCATGCGCCCAATAATCTCTCGGCCAAGTAGTTGTATGTTATGGTCTCTGGGTTATGAAATAAAGTGTGAACATTTTATTTTATTTCGTGTCACGCTTTATATTTGTCAAATTAACATCCTACTCATCCACGCTCGCAGTAAAGAATATTTAACTTAATTTTGTTAATTTCTCATTTCGGTTCATGATTTCGCGTTCACGAAACGTTTACATACCAGCATATTAGGAGCAAATCGAGGTGTCAATTAGCCTCGTACTGAGGGACGAATGTTCTTTAACGACGTTAAATAATGTATTTATTTAATTCATCCGTAATATACTGTCTTGATTCCCTTATATATCAATGATAAATTTTGTAATAATGGAAAGAAGGGCAATAGTAAGAGATGGAAATTCACTTAGTTTTAATTATATTCAGCATTATATTCATGCTGACGAAATATTGCTGAATATAATTAAAATTAAGTGAATTTTCATCTCTCACTATTTCCCTTCTTTCCATTATTACAAAATTTATTATTTAATTCATCGTTACACTATATCCATGGTCAGATGGTTAAGTTATTTTAAGTTTGAATCTTTCGCTGGTAATATATTTTTTATGGTTTATTTCTGTTCGCTACTTTGAATTCTAGGAATTATAATAATTATTTTTTATTTTTAGTACTTCTAATTTATATCAGAATTAAATATAGATACATTTTTTAAGAATGTTTCTAGTTTTACAAATATATTTCACGATATTCTTTCCAAGGGACATTAAGTTGATTTATATTATATTTATAAAATTCTTTCATAAAGAAAAGAACCTATTAATGTTACTTTTAGGGGTGATCTGATTAACTAAACAGATCACCTAGACTACTATTATGTAATGGTATGTATATTGTGTAAATATGTTTGTAAAAGATGACTGTCGAAAATAAGCTTCGGTTATTATTAACAAGTTTGCCTAACTTGGCTGGCTACCAAGTCGGCTACTCAAAACACCTCATTTTTTTTTATATCGAATTTGGACAGAAAGTTAAACTGGGTTATTCGAGTTTTTGGGTTATTAAAATTAATCTTACCTTTGCCCGATCATCCCTGTGTATAGTTGAAGAAAATAATAAATTTGACCCCTACATGACTTTACGCGGGGAAGGGGTTAACCGCACCCCACACATAATACCCTATCTAAACATAGAATTTCTCACTCTTTCCGAATCCGGGATCAAAATTATAGGTTCCTATTCAAAAAATGACTTTGACCTTTAAATGACCTTGAAAATAAATCTAAAGGTCAAGTCCGATTTCTGGAAAACGTGTCCCTCATGTCCTAAACAACTTTTGTCTGAACATATTTCTTATAGAATGCAAACCGTAGAAAATTTCGGGGTGGTTCCTTTAAAATGGGTCACCCTGTATACTCGTACCCTTTAGGAGTTCACTTTAAAGATCCCATTATATCCATGGCAATTTTATCAAAAACCGTAACGCAAGTATTAGTGATTATCATGGGTTGTTTGGTTTGCAATCGAGTAAGCTTTTTGAATTGACATTCTAAACATTGTTGGGTATACCTTTAAACATCGTGTTTTAGATTTTCCTAATAATATTCCAGTCTAATTCTATAAAAGATTTCAGAAAGACCGCGGTGTCCCCCTACGGGTGATTTGTGTATTTTGCAAAATATTTCATCGGATCTTTCTTTTGGAACATATTTAATTGTATTCATACATATTCGAGGTCTGTTCAAAAAGTATCGCAATCTTTGAATTTCCGCGGGATACGTAAAATTGATTTTTAATTTTGTTGTAGCGTTATGTTCATGAATAAATTTATATATACTCGTAAAGATATAAAGGGTCTAGCCAGGTAAGATAGTGAAATCTGCCTTTGAATGGTGAGGGAAACGGAATATACCCTTTCATTCCTCATGTATAGAAACCCCTTTTCCCAAATTTTCAGACCCCTAGACCCCAGGGGGGCCGGCTGAGACGTGACTATACGCTTTTCAGTTTTTTAACGATGTCTCGGTCAATTTTGAAGCTAGAAAAAAAACAGAAAAACCAAATTGTAGGATTTTTTGAGCCCCACAAACCTATGTGACTCAAAAAATTTTTAGCGGGAAATTCAAATTTTCACAGCCTTTTGAAAACTTTAAAAATTCGTATTAAAAAAACAAAGACCGACTCACCGTTGAAAAAAATATATCTTACGTATTTTTTGTACAAAAATGCCTGTGATTTTTTTCAGATTTTTAAAAGTGGTGGAACGACCTTGAAAAAAATTAAAATCTCTAAAAAACACCCTTTTTCGACTCTAGCTCCTTATATATCAATTCTATACTGAAATCGACTACGCCATCGTATTCTACGCAAAAAAATACATCGGAAACGTATATATATTTTTTTTTCTAGGATTTTTGCATCCCTTCAATAATTCGCCAAGTAAAGTTGATCGGACCGGCTCGCAATGTTTGAAATTATTGTTAGCTTAGAATGTAATTTAAAAAAAAAGTAATATATACTTATACTGTTCCTTTTTACATGGAATACGATGGAGCAATTTGTTCTATCGTTGAACTTACCCAGAAAACATTGGAAGTAAAAAAATTATGTATTTGGCCGCTGACGCTTTGTAGAGAGATTTTACTATGAATCCGTTTGCGTCATCATATTTTTTTTACTATATTTGAAGTTCATGTTTGTGTGTACTCAATAAATAATAAGAGGATGAATAAAGTAGGAACGAATAAATTATTATTCAATAATATAATATTTAAAAAAAATAAAATTAGCTATATAATTATATATAATCTGTGACCACGCTTCGAATGTTAATCATCATCGCTATCTTCTTCGATAGAAGTAACCACATGATCTTGTTCATAAATCCTTGTGAGATGTTCAGCAGGTTTAACAATGCAGGATTGAAATCTAGCATACGCTAAATAATAAATAACGGCAGCCACGTGAGAGCAGCAACCGATTGTTCTCATTCCATTAGCACACTCACAGCAAAAACGGACTATACCGGAACAGCCAATAGTATTGGGTTTGTACTGGATGTAGCAGTTATACGTCTTACTTTCGATGTGTCTCGATCTAACTCGTACTTTCAGAAGATCAGCAGATTCTTTGAAATAACTAACATTTATCTCATTATTCTCGCCCAGCATTTCAGCTAAGTAGGATATGGCTTGTTTGAGTTGATACGTTCCACTGTATAGTTTTACTAAATCCTGCTCCGTCATTTCAGGAAAATCTTGTAAGTCAGCAGACGTCAACTTTTGGAATAAGCTTTTCCTTCGATTATACTTTTCTAAAATCACTTCTGTGGCTAGGCTATTTTCATTGGAATTTCTGTTAAGTATATAATTCAGTACTTCGTCATCTGTAGCAGCTCTTGAGATAAGTCGTTTACCAAATTGATTTATTAAAAAGCAAACTATTCTGCAATAGAGATCAGCTTCGGGTAAGTAACGGTTGTCCAATTGCTGATGAAAGAACTTGTACTTCTGAGCTACATTACCATGAACAGCTTCCACAACCCATCGAAGCATCGTTACAAGTCGAGATTTATTCGAATCTTCCGCGGATAGTTGTTTAAGATTTCTATCTTTCAACGCTGGCATGAGAACCCTGTACCCATCACTTTCTAATTGCGATACTATGTCACGAAAGACGCGATCGAGAATAAAAACATCATCCTTTTTGCACATCGGCTTCTTCAAATCGCTGTCATTCGCGTTTAAAATTTTTTCCAGAATTTTTGCATCATTTTCTTTAGCATAAAAGGGTCCTAGTACATCTACGATATAACCATCCGTCGTACATATAGTGAACGGCTTGCACAGAGGAACTTTTTTATGCCGTGAAAATGATCTTCGTTGGTATTCGTTCTTTGAGCTTTTCTGGTGCTTCCAATAAGTTCCATCGGCAACTAGCCCAAGATTATCATCACTAACATCATGAAGATTTTGAAGTAGCACTGTCGAATGATTTTTAATCAAATCATCTCTGTCGATGCTTCTCAAACCAAAACGTGAAGGCAATATGTCTCTTTCAA